GGTCCATTGTCTTCTCTCCTCCCTGTTCCTATCAATACACAAAATATTATTTCTTTATTTATAATAAATACTTATCATTGAATTCAAAATGCAAAAATGATGTGCTCGATTAATACACTTCAATTCACAATCATGTTTTTTTCGGCTAGGAATATGATCATTGCAAGAATTTAATGCATACATCAAAGAAATAATATCAAATTTGATAAATATATGTAAATAATCATTGAATCGATTGCAATCTTTTTTTTTGTGATACGCATAGAAAAAATTATTCGAACATATGACATTTTGTTTATTGAATCATCGCTTTTGACAAGAACAATTAAATACTAATGACTAACATTATCGTTCTTCTATTATTCGAGATAAATAAGTACATACTATATATATGTTTCATAGTGTTTATTTTGGTATGCAACTAAAATCAATCGGGCGTTTTTCTTACAAACAAATTAAACTTCGACATATTTTTTTTCTTCACTTATAATTTATGTCCTGCGAGAATAAATATAACAAGAATATATTGTTGAATATAAATTGTCGGAGGAGTCGGAAAAAATAGAAGTAAAAGAGTTTTGAACAAACAAACAAATCAATTAATTAACGTCCTTTTTTATGTGAACCTCCACTACCAATTCGTGCATCATGTGTATCACCTTTACCAACATCAAAATCTGGTAGATGACCTTTTCTCTGTTTTTCTTCAATTGCTTTAATTGTATCATGTTGAAGATTATCCATATCCTTTTTGACATCACCTTGTTTTCTTGCATGTTGGCCTTCTCCTTTAACGATCGCTTCTATAAAATAAAATTGTATGTATATATATATATATACATATAAGAAGAAAATTCATATTAGATTTTGTTTTTTTTACCACTATCAGAAGCAACAGTATCTAACCATCTTTGTTCTTTACGTGTTTTTAGATCTTGAGAAGCTTTTTCTACAGCTTTTGACTTTGCATGATCACCATCACTTAGTCTTGGTGCAGTTGTAGTTAATAAACGAAGTGATTTTGTTGTTAACGATTGTTGATTACAACGAATAGCAGAAATAAATCGAGTTAACATCTTTTTTTAAAAATTTATGTTGAATAGATCTATAATACACTCAAGGCCCTACTTCATTTACTACCATCGCAATTAAATAGACCAATAAGGAGTCATAGTCTAATCGATTTTTTATTGGTTAATTGTAAACCAATAAGAAATTATGATGGCACAAGTAGTCAAGTCAAGTTGCCTTGTATTCTCTTATTGTTCACAGTTAAAAGCTATTTAAGTAACTCAATTAATTTTATGCTAAATAACAATAATATATAAAAAGAAAAGAAAATTTTTTGTAGATGAACGAATCTTCTGGGTTGATCAATTTTCATTGAGACTTGTTATCGTTATATATATATATATATAATTGTTATTCTTTATCAAATAGAAAAGTGAAAGATATTATTACCAGACCTGTCTACGTATCAACCAGCTGAAGGAAAAAAAGAAAAAAAAACGAAAAAAAAAAATGCGACTAAAAGACTAAGGGTAAGCGTGTGCTATTATCGTAGATCTTTACTTCTTCTATCAGTCTTTATTCATCTTTTTTTTTTAGGCTTTCTTTTTTTTTTTGTTCTGTCTTTTTCTTTGCTGTAAAACGACACACTCTCAAGAGATATTCATCATTTTATTGTCATCAATTAACATGAATTAGATTTCATAAGACTTACAACTAATAAATCAATATCAGTTCGATAGAAATAAAGAAATTATTCTAAATTCTTAATCATAATAATTCAACATATCGTATATCTAAATTATCACCATCATTATCAAATATTCCATTATATATTCGTTTAATGATGGCTAATAAAAACGATGAGCATCATCTGTTGACACCAACATTAAAAACTATGAAGCCAGGAACAGATGTACACAATATTTTACCATCATATCCTATGAATTCAAGTGAGAGAAAAAACGAATAAATTTATTATGATTGTAATTATTTATATTTACTTAGGTAGAGATTCTAAACGTCATCGAGCAGTATCTCAACCAGATGGGACTATACAATACACAGTATGAAATATACTAATTCATATTAAATTATTGATTATAATAGAAATATTTTCTTTTTTTTCTTCATATGTTATTAGATTAGTAGTACTGATACATTAGAAAAGGTAGCACTTCGTTTTAATTCGACACCATCGGAATTGGTTAAACTCAATAAACTTAATACACGTACCCTGTATCCTGGACAAGTTTGTTTTTATTTTTTCTTTTAAGTATTTTTCTAATAAAATTTATTTCTTATTATTTATAGATATTAATCGTACCTGAAGAATGTTCATCAAATAATTCAAATCAACAAAAATCAACAACTACTGTTCCTATTGATATAAAATCTTCTTCATTATCAACAACAACAACACAAAAAGATAGTGATGCATTTATTCTTCTTAAAGATAATCGTTCACCAAGCGTATCTTCTTCATCACCTCCTCATTCATTACAAAAAGATATTGGTCCAATGGTTTGGTCAATGGCTCGAAATACGACAGCACGACCAGGTCGTGCTGAACGATTAAAAAGTAATTCAAATATTGAAGATGAATCATTATCATCATCATCAAAAACAATTGAAGATAATTTAAAATCATCAAAAGATGATAGTAAACAAACGAAAACATTACAAAAATCTTCATTAGTAGATAAAAATCATCGATTAGATGAAGAATGTTTACAACGTTTTATTAAAGTTAATGTACGATTAATGACAGAAGATCATGTAAGTATTTTTCCTTTAAACTATGGACACTTGAATGACTCAAACTAAGAATTTTAAATTGAATTCAATCTGATATTAAGAAAATATCTATTGTTACTTTTTTATCGATCGACAAAAAAAAAAATAATCTAATAGTTCAAAATAACTTAAATAATAATGATATTTAGATAAATGATATTATTAGATTAATTCTTTTTGTTTTTGTTTTGAATTCGAAAGAAGATTTAAATAATTAAATGATTTTTGAAGATTTTAATGAGAGTTATTTTTAATAATTTATGAAATGAAAAGAAATTTGAAATAATATCATTTTAATTCTTATCGTATAAATTATTCTTAGATATTCAATCAGGCAAAAATATTATTCATCCAGTAAATAAATTCAGTATAAATTTTAATTAATTTAAGGGTATTCTTAGAACTAGCTTCTGCTTTTAAATGCCTATTCGATAGAGCTAAAAATCATCTAACATATTATACGAATTGAGATATGTTTAACACTTTCTGCCATTCTTTTTCTGCTTATATGAGACAGAATTATGTATTGCTTTATTCGAATAGATAAAATAGTTTTATAATTATCTTCAAACTATAAGAATAAAGGGATTTGAAATTTAATTTAAATATGCTATTAGTTGCTTCAAATAGATAAAAAAAAATTTTCTATTTAATGTTTTTCAAAAATATTTTCGTTTGTAGGAAAGTGTTGCCGGCACTTTACTTGTTACACCTAATGCAGTTATGTTTGATCCCGATGTACTCGATCCATTGGTTAAAGAACATGGTATTGAAAAATATGGATTGATAATACGGTTAGTTAAATATTTTATTTTATTATACCAAACTTTTTTAGTCGTTTTCTATTAAGTCAAAGAAAACAAACGAATATATTATCAAACGTTTTTTATTCTATTTTCGGACATCTAAATGATAAGTCTACTGATAAGAAATATACTGAAATAAAAAAAAAAAGAAGCTCTTGGTCGATATGAATATCAATTGTTATATTTGATGAATCATCAATTACAAATTTCAATAGTAAAGATAAATTCTACTTCATTTGTCTCATATAATAGATGATTGGAAAGTTTTTCGACAAGATGTTTGTTCACTTTTGATCTACTTGAAAG